TAGCTAGTCAAGAGGCTGAGATCTGATGATGAGGTTCAAAGCCATCCTGGGCAGGAGACACTTATCTCCAATTAACCACCAGAAAACTGGAAGTAGTGCTATGGCTCAAAATGCAACACCCAGGCCCTCAGTTTAAACTCTACAACGGGGGGGGGGGGGGAGGAGGGAACAACCCAAAACAAAAAGTAGTTCTGCTGGATGCTGGTGGTCATGCCTGTAATCCTAGCTCCTCAAAAGGTTAAGATCACAGTTTGAAGCCAGCCCAGGCAGCAAAGTTCCAAGACTCTTATCTCCAAAAAAGAAAAAATTGGAAGGAGTGTGAAGGCTCAAGTAATAGAAGAGTAACCTTAAGCACAAAGTTCAGGGACAGTACACAAGCCCTGAGTTCAAGTCTCAAACTGGCACAAAAAAGAAGTGGAGACAAGCCAGGTATGGTGGCATGTAACTGTAATCAAAGACTAGTAGACAGAGGCAGGATTGCCTCAAGTTTGGCCTATCTTGAGATACTTAATGAGTTCAAAGCCAGCTTGAGCTACATAGTAAGAAGCTAATTAAAAAAGAAAAATTAACTTACACGTAGTTTAATACTGGGATTTGAGCAGGGAGGTTCTGGGTAGGTGTTCTACCACTTAAGCTTCTCAATAGCCCTTTTGTGGGTTGTTTTTGAGATAGTGTCTTGCTTTACAGCCCGGCCAATATGAACTGGAATCTTCCTATTTGTGCCTCCCAGAGTTGCTGGGATGAAAGGTACACACTAATGTTCAGCCATTTGTCAAGATGGAGTCTCCTGAACTTTTGTATGTGTCTGTGTGTATGTATGTTTTAATTCTCATTATGTAGCTTAGTTTGTCCTCGAATTTACAATCCTTCTTCCTCTAGGTGCTGGTATTATAGGCCTGCATCACCACATTCAGCTCAATAATATACTTTGCACTTCTAATATAAATTAAGATATAGGGCTGGGAAGGTGGCTCAGTGGTAGAGCACTTGCCTTGCATGCATGAGGCCCTGGGTTCGATTCCTCAGCACCACATAAGCAGAAAAAGAAAGCCAGAAGTGGCACTGTGGCTCAAATGGTAGCATGCTAGCCTTCAGCTGAAGAGCTGAGGGACAGCACCCAAGCCCAGAGTTCAGGCCCCACGACCGCCCACCCCCTCTGCAAAAAAAAAAATAAATAAATAAAAATATATATATTAAGGTATAGACTAAAGTTGTATCAGAAATACTTAATCTGTATTTATATTTTATAAAATTTATAGTTGAAAAAGTTGGCTCATATCATATATCTCCAAATTCTTCCTAACTTAAAAGTTTTCTAATAAAGGAATCAAAAATCAGCTTACTTTGGGGCTGGGAAGGTGGTTCAGTGGTAGAGTGCTTGCCTTGCATGCATGAGGCCCTGGGTTCGATTCCTCAGCACCATATACACAGAAAAAGCTGGAAGTAGGTGCTATGGCTCAAGTGGTAGAGTGCTAGCCTTGAGCTGAAGAGCTCAGAACAGTGCCCAGGCCCAGAGTTCAAGCTCCTCGACCAGCAAAAAGAAAAAAGCCTGGCACTGGTGGCTCACGCCTGTAATCCTAGCTACTCAGGAAGCTGAGATCTGAGGATCGCGGTTCAAAGCCAGCCCGGGCAGGAAAGACTGTGAGACTCCTATCTCCAATAAACCACCAGAAAACCGGAAGTGGCGCTGTAACTCAAGTGGTAGAGCCTTGAGCTGAAGAGCTGAGGGACAGCGCCCAGGCCCAGAGTTCAAGTCCCACGACCGACAAAAAAAAAAAAAATCCCAAAGTATGAACACAGCCTATCTGTGTCCGGTTTAAGCTTTGCTCCAGTGACATTTTGTAGTAAAAATTCCAAGTGTACAAGTCTTTCATTTTCTTGGTTAAGTTTATTAATTTAGTAACAAGCATTTTTTCTTTTGCAGTGCTAAGGACTAAACCAAGGGCCTTACATGCTAGGCAAGTGCTCTACTACTGAATTGCACCATCAGTCCCATTTTATAATTTTTAATTGCATTATATGTGGAATTTTCTTAATTTCCTTTTCAGATCAGTGCTTGAGACAGAATTTTGCTATATAATAGTCCAGGCTGGGCTGGAATGTACTATGTAGCTCAGGCTGACTTTCACCTCATGCTCTCCTTCCTCAGCCTGCCAAATGAAGCTTCTAAGTGTGTACCACCTTGCCTACTTAAGTTACTTTTTTTTTTTTGTCTGTTTGTTTTTTGCTGGTCATGGGGCCTGAACTCTGGTCCTGGGCACTGTTCCTCAGCTCTTCAGCTCAAGGCTAGTGCTCTACCACTTGAGCCACAGCACCACTTCCAGCTTTTTCTGCTTATGTGGTGCTGAGGAATAGAACCCAGGGCATCACGCATGCAAGGCAAGCACTCTACCACTGAGCCACCTTCCCAGCCCTTAACATTCCCTTTATTCCTCTAAAATGACATTCACAGACAATCTGTACTCACACTTTTTAAAAATTACTTTAAATACAAGCAAATAAGTAATTTATAACAACATGCATTTTAATGTGTATACCTTATGTTAAACTTCCTTAAAAGTAAACTTTCATGTACAGGTCACATTAAAATAAATGTGAAAATTAAAAGTTTGAGTTTAATCTCAAAGGAGAGATCCTGGGTGTTGTTTGATCATGGCTATAATCCTAACTACCAAAGAGGCTGATCTGAGGATTGCAGTTCAAATCTAGCCTAGGCAGGAAAGTCCAATTAACCACCAGAAAACCAGAAGTGGAGCTGTGGTGAGTTCAAAGTGATAGAAAGCTCACCTTGACGGGGCTGGGAAGGTGGCTCAGTGGTAGAGTGCTTGCCATGCATGCATGTGGTCCTAGGTTCGATTCCTCAGCACCACATAAGCAGAAAAAGCCGCAAGTGGCTCTGTGGCTCAAGTGGTAGAGTGCTAGCCTTGAGCTGAAGAGCTGAGGTCCGTGCCCAGGCCCAGAGTTCAGGCCCCAGGACCAGCAAAAAAAAAAAAAAAGTTCACCTTGAGCAAAAGAGCTCAGGGATAGTCCCAGGTCCTGAGTTCAAGAAAGAAATGGGGAATGAGAGAGAGAAGGGTGGAGAGGGAAGAAAAATTAAACAATTTACAATTTTTTTAAGCAGCTGTGGTAACATTCTTATTTTACAGATGAGGTAGAAGTTTAGAGATGTTAAATGACCTACTGTCACTTTAATGAGAGTCCAGTTAAGATACAAACCTAACTTCAAACCAATGCAATGCTCTTTCCATTATGTAACAGCCTTGCTAGAATGACAAAAGCAGGAAAATAAGTTTTCTGTGTGCCAGTACTGGGGCTTAAACTCAGGGACTATGCACTATCCCTTAGCTTTTTATTTTTGCTCAAGGCTGGTGCTCTACGATGAAACCATAGCTCCCACTTCTAGCTTTCTGGTGGTTAGCTAGAGACCAGTCTCTCAGATTTGTCTGCCTGGTCTGGCGTTGAACTGGACTCCTCAGATTTCAGGCTCCTGAATAGGTATAATTACAGGCATGAGCTACCAGCACCCAGCCAGAAAAGAGGATTTTTAAAGAGATAAAATCTGAGACCCATAACAAAGCCAAAATTACCAATACTTTGTGTGTGTGTGTCAGAGACAGAAATTCATTATGATACCCAGGCTATCCTCAAACTTGTGATTACCTGCCTTTGTCTACCAAGCAGCTAGGATTAGTAAGCCTTTAATTGGACATTTTTCTATTAATTGTTGCTGACATTCTGTGAAGAATGATCAAAGTTTCTCTCTTTTTTTCCTCCTCTTCCTGTGTGTATGTGTGTGTATGTGTGTGTGTGTGGGGGGGGGTCTTGGGACTTGAACCTCAGGGTCTAAATGCTGTCCCTGATCTGTCTTTACACAAGGCTAGCCCCTCTATTACTTGAGCCATAGCCCCACGGTCCAGCGTTTTTTTTTTTTGTACCAGTCCTGGTGCTTGAACTCAGTGCCTGGGTGCTATCCCTGGGCTCTTTTCTTCCTCTTTTTTTTTGTTTTGTTGGTCCTAGGGCTTGAACTAAAGGCCTGGGCACTGTCCCTGAGCCTCTTTGTGCTGAAGGCTAGTGCTGTACCCACTTGAGTCACAGTGTCATTTCTATCTTTTTCTGAGTAGTTTATTGGAGATAAAGAGTCTCACAGACTTTTCTGCTCAGGCTGCCTCTTGGAAAAATAGCTAAAGCAAAAAATAAGGCTGTGTTATATGGCTCAAGCACTTGCCTAAAAAGGACAAGACCCGAACTCAAACCCCAGTACCAAAAAAAAAAAAAAATAGACAGGCACTGGTTGCTCATGCCTGCAATCCTGGCTACTCAGGAGGCTGAGATCTGAATATCCTGTTGTGAAGCCACCCGTGACAGGAAAGTCCTTGAGACTCTAAATAATCACAGAAAAAGCAGGGAGTGGCACTGTTACTCAAGTGATAGAGCGTTAGCCTTGAGCAAAAAGTAGCTCAAGGACAGACTCAAGCCCAGAGTCAAGCCCCAGGACTAGCCAAAAGAAAATAGAAAAAGAATCTCAAGGACTTTTCTGTCTAGGCTGCCTTGAAACTTCAATTCTCAGATCTCAGCCTCCAGAGTAACTAACATTACAAGGGTGAGCCACTAGCACCTGGCATTATTTTTTTGGATGGTACTCGGGTTTGATGTCAGGGTCTTGAACTTGCTAGGCTAGTGTTTAAGCCATATCCCAGCCCTTTTTTGGCTTTAGCTGTTTTTCAAAGATTTCTTAATTTTTGCCTGGGACAGCTTCAGACTTTGATGCTTCTACTTCCGCCACCTTCGAATCTGCAAAGGCTAATTTCTATCAATGTGCTCAGCTTTTTATCAATTGCGATGAGGTCTCTCCAAAATTCTTTTGTCCAATTTACCTTAAACTGTGATTTTCCTTATCATTGTTTCCCCAGTAGTTAGATTACAGGTGTGAGCCACCACTGTCAGCTCTAAAACTTGTTTTCAAATTAATAATTTATTCATAATACTCTTTATTTTTACAGGACCTTAATATAAAGCTGACTGACATAATGAACAACGTGCAGCGGATATTAACTCGCTATAGTATTGATCTGGATGCACCCATTGAAAGAAGGCCCTCTATTGTAGAAAATCCAAAAAAACGGAGAACTATGTTTTTGGAGAAAATAAATGCTTATGCTAAGGCTGCTGACTATAGAGAAAAGATTCTTCTCTACATTCTGAACTGGTTGGAAGAATGGAGTAAGTTTCCATAAGTAGTTCAGAGGAAATCATACACTTAAAATGACAGAGCTGGGTGACAGTGGCTCATGCCTGTAATCCTAGCTACTCAGGAGGCTGGGATCTGAAGATCATGGTTCAAAGCCAGCACAGGCAGGAAAATCTGTGAGTCTCTTATCTCAAATTAATCACCAGAAAACCAGAAGTGGTGCTGTAGCTCAGGTGGTAGAGTGCAAGCCTTGAGCTGAAGAGCTGAGGGACAGTGCCCAGGCCCAGAGTTCAAGCTCCACAACCAACCTAAATAAATAAATAAGTGAAATGATAGAGAAGAGGATTTATAAGTAACCTTTGAAAGGCTAAGCCAGCTTCAAGATAGAAAAGGCTAAGGAAGTTATTTATTTATTTATTTATTTTGGGGGGGGGGTTGTGGGGCCTGAACTCTGGGCCTGGGCGCTGTCCCTCAGCAATTCAGCTCAGGGCTAGGGCTCTACCACTTGAGCCACAGCACCACTTCCAACTTTTTGCTTATGTGGGGCTGAGGAATCGAACCCAGGGCCTCAGGCATGCAAGGCAAGTGCTCTACCACTGAGCCACCTTCCCAGCTAAGGAGGTTATTTATTAAACAATTGTTCTCTGCTCCAGTAGGAACAAAATAAGAAAAATACAGAGCTGGCTCTCGATTATAATCCTAGCTCCTCAGAAGGCTGAGATCTGAGAATCAAGATTTGAAGCTAGCCAGAGCAGAAAAGTCTCCTTGAGGCTCTTATCGCAAATTAACCACTCAAAAATCAGAAGTGGTGCTGTGGCTCAAGTGTTAGGGCACTAGTCTGAGCACAAAGAGGTCTAGGACCTGAGTTCAAGCCCCACAACCAATAAAAAAAAAAAAGAAAAATATATAGGCTTATTCATAGTGGCAGCTATTTCTCTCTCCTTTTATTTCTTCAAGCATGCCAGTATAGATCCTTCTCAATATCCTTATGCTTACTCTACCTTGCCTAGAACAGTGTCCACTAGATAGCCATATGGTTCATTCCCTGTTTAAATTCCACTTCTTATTTCTTATTTTTACTCTGTGTGTGTGTGTGCTGGTATCAGGGCTTGAACTCAGGAGCTTGATCTCTCTACTTTTTTACTCTTAGCAGGCACTCTATCACTTGAACCACCCTTTCAATTTTGAGTTGTTTTTTGGGGGGGTCCAGTCGTGGGGCCTGAACTCTGGGCCTGGGCACTGTCCCTCAGCTCTTCAGCTCAAGGCTAGCGCTCTACCACTTGAGCCACAGCACCACTTCTGGCTTTTTTCTTTTTGCTTATGTGGTGCTGAGGAATCGAACCCAGGGCCTCATGCATGCAAGGCAAGCGCTGTACCACTGAGCTACCTTCCCAGCCCCTTGTTTTTGTTTTTTTGCTGGTAAATAAAAAAAAAAGTCTCTTGGATTTATCTGTGTAGGCTGGCTCTAAACTGGGATTCTCAGATCTTAGCCCTCTGAGAAGCTAGGATTACAAACCTTGAGCCACTGGCAGCTGGTCCATTACTCTTCTTAATTATTGACTATAGGATTAATATCTGACATACCATATATATTGACTTTGCATTTTAATTTAATTTTTAATTTTTCTGTCTCTTTTCACTAGAATGCAAGTACTATGAAATCAGAGAGATTATTTTGTTTAATGTAGTATCCACAATGTATAGAATGATGTATAGACACAATGTATAGACAGATCAGGCATTGATGGATTTAAAGAATGGAATAGGCAGGGGCTGGGAAGGTGGCTCAGTGGTAGAGCGCATGCCTTGCATGCATGAGGCCCTGGGTTCAATTCCTCAGCACCACATAAGCAAAAAGAGAAAAACCGGAAGTGGTGCTGTAGCTCAAGTGGTACAGCGCTAGCCTTGAGCTGAAGAGCTGAGGGACAGCGCCCAGGCCCAGAGTTCAGGCCCCACGACTGGACCCAAAAAAAAAGAAAGCAAGAAAGAAAAAAAAGCCAGAAGTGGCACTGTGGCTCAAGTGGTAGAGCGCTAGCCTTGACTTGAAGAGCTGAGGGACAGTGCCCAGGCCCAGAGTTCAGGCCCCACGACTGGACCAAAAAGAAAAAAAAGAATGAATAGGCAAAGAATACCAAACCGGGAAGGAATTTCATTTTGTTGCAAGAAATCATTCACTATTTATTTTTCATGCCAGGCCTGGGTCTTGATCTCAGGGCCTGGGTGCTGTCCCCGAGCTTCTTTTTGCTCAAGGCTAGTGTTCTACCTTGGAGCCACAGCAACACTTCTGGATTTTTCTGAGTTGTTTATTAGAGATAAAAATCTCACAGATTTTCCTGCCTGGGCTGGCTTTAAACTGGGATCCTCAGCCAGGGAAATCAATCCAATATACCCATTTTAACAGGAGAAAGAGGGAGGGGGAGGGAGGCAAGGAGGGAGGGATAGGTGTGGGGGGGGGAGGGGTGTGTGTGCGCACGCACGCATGCTCATTGGTACTACAACTTGAACTCAGGGCCTGGATGCTGTTCCTTAGCTTTTTTACTCAAGGCTATCACTCCACTACTTGAACCATAGCTCCTCTTCCAGCTCTTTGGTGTTTAGAGATCAGTCTCACAGGCTTGTCTGCCTGGGCTGGCTTTGAACCATGATCCCCAGATCTGATTCATATTTTCTTTTTTTTATTCATATTTTCATAACTGAGATTTACTATTCATACTCCTATTCCAAGTTTTTTTTTTTTTTTTGCCAATTCTGGGGCTTGAACTCAGGGCTTGGGCACTGTTTCTGGGCTTCTTTTGCTCAAGGCTAGCACTTCTGAGCCACAGCACCACTTCAGGCTTTTTCTATTTTATGTGGTACTGAGGAATCAAACCCAGGGATTCATGCATGCTAAGCCACATTCCCAGCCCTCAAGTCTCCTTATAATTATTTTATTTATTTATTTATGGTCGGTTATGGGCTTGAACTCTGGGCTTGGGCACTCTCTCTCAACTCTTCAGCTTGAGGTGAGTGCTCTACTGCTTGAGCCACAGCACCACTTCTGGTTTTCTAGTGGTTTATTGGAGATAAGAGTCTCACAGACTTTCCTTGCCTAGGCTGGCTTTGAACCATGATCCTCAGATCTCAGCCTCCTCAGTAGCTAGGATTACAGGTGTGAGCCGCCGGCGCACAGCTTTTATTTTATTTTATTATTTTCTTTGGGGGGGGGAGGTCCGGTCATGGGGCCTGAACCCTGGGCCTGGGCGCTGTCCCTCAGCTCTTCAGCTCAAGGCTAGTGCTCTACCACTTGAGCCACAGCGCCGCTTCTGGCTTTTTTTTTTTGCTTATGTGGTGCTGAGGAATCGAACCCAGGGCCTCATGCATGCAAGGCAAGCACTGTACCACTGAGCTACCTTCCCAGCCCCCAATACTTATAATTATTTTAAAGAAAAAGGTTCAATCAGATAACTGTATTTCCCAATGCTACAATGTTGAGTACTTCTCAGTATTATAGGCCTATATGGTTAAAATTATTTATTTTTCTTAACAAAAATTTATTTTTCTTACTCTCTTCAAGGTGGTATATTGACAGATATAACTTCAACTGATTTGGATGAGTACTTCCACTGGGCAGTAAAAATGGACACCTTACCAGAAACACTAAAAGGAATTGATAGCAGTGTCAAGACACTGGGTAAACTTTGTACATGTATAATTGAAGAAAGGAGGAGACAAAAGAGAAAAACATGTAAGAATACTTTATGGCTCTTGTAAACGGAGTTTGACTTGTTCTAGAAAAAAAAATAGGAGTTATACTTTGAATACCATCAAATCCATACATGTTAGGTACACAGTTCTTTCTAGTACATGCAATGATCACTACAATCCCATTTTAGAGCATTTCCATTATCCCAAAAAGGTCCTTCTTGCTCACTTGCAGTACGCCCTATTTTAACCCACAGCCCCATAGCTACTAATCTATATTCTGTCTTAATAAATTTGCTTTGCCTTCCTGAGTATTTCATATAAGCAGAATAAAGAGTATCATATTATATGTAGTCTCTATGAAATTTATTTTTTAAGATACTGTCTCTCTATGTAACCTAGGCTGGCCTGGAACTTAGGATCTTCATGCATAGTCTCCTGCATGCTGGAATGATGGGCAAACACCCCTATTCCTGACTATCTCTTTTTTTTGGGTGTGGTACTGGAGATTAAAACTCAGGACGACTCAGCACTGCTCAGGCAGGGGCTCTACTGCCTAAGCCACAACCTCCAGTTTTTTTATTTTCATTTGTTTCTCAGACAGGGTTTTGCACCAACTTTGCTTGCTTCAGACCTCAAGCCTCCTACTTTGGTTTCCCAAATAGCTAGGACTAGAGGTATGATATATGGTACCTTCTATGTTTTATCAATATTGTTTTCATTTGTAAAAATTCAGTTTGCTAGGAAGTTTCTCTAGCACTTTAACCATGTTCCTAGCCATTTTTTCATTGTTTTGAAATAGGTTATTATACCTGGGCCAGCAAGAACTGCGTTTCCCCTATTTTTGCTTTCTAAGTAACTAACACAACAGGTGCATGCTATGATGGCCAGCTTTTTTTTTTTCTTGTGCCTGTCCAGGGGCTTGTAAATCAGGGCCTGAGATTTTTAGATTTTTTTTGCTCAAGGCTAGTGCTCTACTATTTGAGCCACAGCTCCACTTCCAGCTTCTTGATGGTTAACTGGAGGTAAGAGTCTGTCTTATGAACTTTGCTACCTGTGCTGGCTTTGAACCAATTCCTCAGATCTCAGCCCCCTGAGTAGCTAGGATTACAGAAGTGGGCATCAGTACTAGACCATGCTCAGCTTTTTATTGGTTGTAATGGAGGTCTTGCTTCCATCCAACAATGGTTTTACTAATCTCTGCCTCCTGAGTTGCTAGGATTATAGTTGTGTGTCACCTCGCTCAGCAGGGCTGCATTCTTTTAATCAGCAGAATGATTTTGAGATTCAGCCATATTACAAGACATTTGTATTTCTATTGGACATGTGTTTATGGTTGCTTGGATATACCATATTTTGTTGTTTGACAGTTAATGAATATTTGGATTGTTTCCACTTTAGACTTTCATGAATAATGTTACTATAACTATACATGCACAAAGTCTTTGTGCAGACATATATTTTTCATTTATTTTTGCATATACCTTAGAAGAATTACTGAATCATATGACAAATTGTTTTTTAAAATGATTGCACTATATTTACATTCCTGCCAGCATCTAACACATGCATGAGGATTCAAATGGAAACTATTAGCCAAGGCTTAAACTCAGGGCCTGAGCACTTCCTTGAGCTTTTTTTGTGCATGGTTAGCACTCTACCACTTGAGTCACAGCTCTATTTCTGGGTTTTTGGTGGTTAATTTGAAGTAAAAACCTCATAGATTGTCTGCCTGGACTGGGTTTGAACTGTAATCTTCATTCTTTTTCCTTTCTGTTCCTTCAGCTCGAATGATCTCCATTAGTCTAGCATTAAATTTTCTTTTTTCTTTTTTTTTTTTTGGGGGGGGGAGTCCAGTCGTGGGGCCTGAATGCTGGGCCTGGGCGCTGTCCCTGAGCTCTTCAGCTCAAGGCTAGCACTCTACCACTTGAGCCACAGTGCCACTTCTGGTTTTCTGGTGGTTTATTGGAGATAAAAGTCTCACAGACTTTCCTGCCTGGGCTGGCTTGGAACTGTGATCCTCAGATCTCAGCCTCCTGAGTAACTAGGATTACAGGCATGAGCCACCCATGCCTGCCTCCTTTCATTTTATTTATGTCAGTCAGGGGGCCCGAACTGTGACCCAATCCCTCAGCTCTTCAGCTCCAGGCTAGCACTTTACCACTTGAGCCACAGCACCACTTCCAGCCTTTTCTGCTTATGTGGTGCTAAGAAATTGAACCCAGGGCCTCATGCATGCAAGGCAAGCACTCTACCACTGAGCCACCTTCCCAGCTCCAAATATGGCTTTTTATTTCTTTGGATTCTATTTACAATTTCTCTTTCTCTCTCTCTCTCTCTCTCTCTCTCTGTCCTACTTCTGGTTTCCTGGTGGTTAACTGGAGATGAGTCTCATGGACTTTGCTGCTTAGGGTTGCTTTGAACTGGGATCCTCAGTTTTCAGCTTCTTGAGTATCTAGGATTACAGGCTTGAGCCAGCATCTGGCTGGGGAAGGTTTTTCCATGTTTACTTCTAAATCATGTCACCCTCTCAGGTAGTAAAACTGTCAATCCTCACAGCCTGCCTTACTCTGGTGAGGATCTGGGGAAGGGTTAGAGATGGAAGGATCTCCAGGTTACCAGATTTTACCAGATTATAATTATAATAATTATTAAAGAAGCTGTAGGGACTGGGAAGGTGGCTCAGTGGTAGAGCGCTTGCCTTGCATGCATGAGGCCCTGGGTTCGATTCCTCAGCACCACATAAGCAAAAAGAAAAAAGCCTGAAGTGATGCTGTGGCTCAAGTGGTAGAGCATCAGCCTTGAGCTGAAGAGCTGAGGGGCAGCACCCAGGCCCAGAGTTCAGGCCCCACAACCGGAACCAAAAAATAATAAATAAAGTAGCTGTATAAAGAGGTTACAATTCCTAAGTCAGGCTGTAAGTACAATGCTTTATGGTCAGTTCCATGTCTTCCATCGTTCTCCCGTTTTCCCCCTCCCATCCCTACCCTCAAGTTACATAGTTTTTTGGATTTTTTTTGCCAGTCTTGGGGCTTGAAGTCAGGACCTAAGAGCTGTCTCTGAGCCTCTTTGTGCTCAGGGATAGTGCTCTATTACTTGAGTCACAGTGCCACTTTCAGCTTTTTCTGAGTGGTTTACTGGCAATAAAGAGTTTCATAAACTTTCCTTCAAACAGTGATCCTCACTCAACTCTCAGCTTCTTGAGTAGCTAGGATTATAGGCATGAGCCACTGGTACCCAGCTACAAGTTCATTTTTTAATAATGTATACAGAATATAATGACTACATTTTCTCACCCTGTCCATTCCTGTGTTTACTGAGGTTTACTAGTTAGTTTGCCTTGAATAAATGTTTCTCAGTTTGTTGCATAACTTTGGTCAATTTCCAATGTCCAAAAATTATTGTTTCCATAGCTTTATCTAGTCATATTTTTGCTTTTAGGGAAAAAATAAATCTGCTTTTTCCCACTTAGCCATTATAGAAATTCCTTCAAATGTTTGTCTTTTGTCTATGATTCATGAGCCTTTTAAAAGAAACGAAGTTAACTTTCATTCATAAAAGAGAAAAGAGAAGCAAGAATCCATGAAAGAAAATAAAAGGTATTAAATATAATAGAGCCAGAGGAAAGTTTTGGCTTATATTTTATCTGAGTCCAAAGTTGCAAATAAAAGTAAGATGAGCCAGCCACCAGTGGCTCACATCTGTAATCCTAACTATACAGGAGACTAAGATATGAGGATGATAGTTTGAAGCTAGTCTGGGCAGGAAAGACTATAATACCCTTACCTCCAATTAATCACCAACAAGCTGATAGTGATCTGGCTCAAGTGAAAGAACATCAGCCTTGAGTGAAAAAGCTCGAGACAGTTCGTAGGCTCTGAGTTCAAGTTCTAAGACC